GTGCAGACATTCCATGTCCCCACGTTTACTTTCGCTTTCATCGAGGGGGATAAGACGCATCGGCCAATTGGCTTCCGAAGGCTTTCACCAACTGGTGTCATTTCACCTCTCCGATTCCAGCGAGGAATAAGTTTATTTTTATTTTTTATATTTTGTTTGTGCTTTGAAGTTTCTTTAGCGGTTAGATTTGTTTTCCGGGGTAGGGTTGCTAGCCCTATGCCCAACCTTCTCTCTTTACCCTAGCTTAGGACTAGTTAACCAGGCGAGGTTTTAATTTAATTAATACGGAAGGTTAATAATTCAAGTTAAATAACTACTTCACTTTCGACATGTTGCATGAGAATCTTATGAAAATAGATGTATTCTGTGAAATCAGCTGTCTTCCTCCTATCACCGTAGTAAGAATGACAAAAAATGAAATATAAATTTGATACATCTTACTCCACTGTTATCGGTTAGCAGTTTAAATTTATAAGGTAAATTCAAAAATTCAAGGAATGCAGAGTTAGAAAATGCGTTTCTGAATACTGAGAATGACAGTTGCAAGTTAGTGCCTTATAACACATGAAAACTTGGAACTGTAAGTAAAGCATGTTAGAAAAGCAGGTTGAAATTGACATTAGTGAGCACTTAGATAACTGCATAAACTGAACTATAAGAAATAGGCATTTTTTTTACTATTAGTGCTAATGCTTGTATTACACCCTCGTTGATTGGACCGAATTGATCAGTCTCTGTTGACATATGGGCTCCTATGCGGATGCCTCGATATTGCCTGTTTTAATTATGTATAGTAATGACCGGGTAGTGGGTAGCAGTGGAATCTAGGATGCGCATTTAGTCCTATTTGGGACTCGTCAGCTGGATGCACCTGCCTTCCAGTGAGTGATGTTGTTCCCACCGGGATTCGGACTCGGGAGCGATCTCTTCAGACGAGAGAGCGTTATCCACTACACCACTGGATCCCAAACTCTACTGCTACCCACTACCCGTCATTACTATACATAATTAAACAAAGGCAATATTGAGGCATCTGCACAGGAGCCCATATGTCAACAGAGACTGATCAATTCGGTCCAGTCAACGAGGGTATAATACAAGCGATAACACTAAAACTAAACTCGTCGCACAAGAAGTGGCTATGGTGGCTCGGTGGTGTGGTGGATAACGCTCTCTCGTTTGAAGAGATCGCTCCCGAGTCCGAATCGCGGTGGGAACGATATCACTCACTGAGAGGCAGGTACATCCATCTGTCGCGTCCCAAATAGGACTAAATGCGCATCCTGGATTCCACTGCTACCCACTACCCATTATTATTATAGTTTTTACTATTGTTAGCATATATGTATTGACGAAACGTGTTTGAATGCAAGCTGTTTTCTTACGCAAAGCTATACAAGAGATTGGTAATGGAACCTCCCAGTAATAATAATAATAATATATGCAGCAAACAGTTTGAAAATATATTCACTTACAGAAGGGGCAACTGGACATTTCACTTTATTCATTTCTACGTACATAAATAAGGAAAACAATATTTTGATTTATCAAACAACAAATCACTACGTTTTACTTGTAAGCTCATCGACACACTACATGAAGAATCGCTGTTTCTTGAACCGTCTCCTCCCTTTGTTGGGTGGATAGTTATCGAAACGTAAAATTTTACTCATCGAGAAGAATCCTAATCCAAAATCTAGTCTACTGTGTAGACAAATGACTTTCTGAAAGAGGTAAGAGAGGAGCAGTATTCTAAATGTAGGCTGATAAAGATTCTACGTAATGAATACGAGCATTAGTGTACAGCGTAGTCTGAAGTGATAAATAATGTAGCAGTAACGAACAACAATAGTCAGCTTTTTATACTTATCAGCGCAAGTGACGAGATACAGTCAAGCCTCAGTGAAACCATGAAGGAAAAAGTGGGCTTGTGATTCACCTACAAGGAAGGAAACTACAGTTTCGGTAAAACACTTCAAAGCACATCTCAACCTACTCTCAACTATTGTTTGGCTGTTCACTAACCAGCCACAGACTAAAAGGGAAAGATACGTGGGTTCGTTGTCAGCACTAACATATCTTCTCTTGTCTTGCACTTGTGGGTATATTACAAGTATTAATAATCAGTGATTTGCCCCCACATCTGTCAAATTCACACAAGATCAATTTCTTATACTTTAAAATCTTGCCTATCCTCTGAGTTCACTTTATCCTTGATTTATTTTGCTTGTTTATCCGAATAACATCCAGTTCGGAAGCAGTTTTAACAAAAGAATTGAATAATTACCGGAGATTCATTGTTATTTATAATCGTATAAGATTTATTTTTACTTGTGTAATCCCAGTGTAGTATATTAGAACAAATAACGGAATAAATATTTTGTATCATTCTTCAACGTTTCGATCTTGCTAGGAATATCCTTCTCAAGAGTGTTAATCTGTTATTAGGTCTTCAGGTTAATATTAAAATTTGGGTACATCATTTATTCCGAATTTACTCATGTTTGAATAATTTCCGTTGCTATTTCGCCTAATCGTCTAAATCACCTCAAAAAATATTGGTTGTATTTCAACATATTTTCTTACCTTATTACATAATACTTTCATTAGCCTACTATTCCTGTCAATTTTACGCTTCCTTCTGAGTTACATACATTCTATGAACCATGCTATATATTACATAATCCATTTTGTTGTCATTCATACTTCACCTGTTATCAAAAGTACCTTTATCGTCGTCACTATCATTATAATTATTATTATATATATTGTTTAATGTTCATCTTTCCGAAATAGTGGTCTATTCCTTCTCATCCCTGATGACTCACAACCTCATTGTGCTTTTCATAGTAGGAATAAATTTCCCCATCCTTTTTTGAGGGAGTTGTGGAGATTGGAAATATTTCAAGTTGTTATTCATCGTAGACTGATATCAGTTGGAGGAGTCCCATACTAGGACGAAACAGCTGTCCAGTGCTCCTAGGTTTCCTTTGTTCCTCCAACTGATGTCAGTCTACGATGAATAACAACTTGAAATATTTCCCATCCTATTTTTGTCCCACCTTACTCGCACAACTGAAAAAAGCCTCTCTGACCGATTTGCTTATTCACTCACCTGCATTGCATTGAACTTTTTTCCGTATCACGATACAACTGGATGATTGTAAAGGTCACCACCATCTGTAACAAAACTTGAATAGTAACCTGAAAACTTAATGTCAGATTCATACTCTTGAAAAGAATCTTCCAGTTAGATTGAAACATTGAGGAATAATGCAAAATATTTGAAGAATTTGAAACAATTAGTCCCTTATGTTTATTTATTATTTTAAAAATGTGATGTATTTGCGCTAAACACTTCGAACAATCTGATCACATTTACTTGTTAAGGTATTATATATTAAAACTGAAAGTAGGGGAAGGACAACTATGACATAAAGGAATTTAATAATAAGAAAGATAATGAAAGGAAAACAAACTTATAAATATACTTCGTATTATATATACATAACTTTGATATCAAACGTTTGTATCAGATTTCACATCAAAAGAAGTCCACCTAAGAGATTTAAATTGTGAAGTTGTAAATAGTTCAGTTTACTTCTTCTCAATAGAGTATCAACGCTGAAAAAACGTTTCATTAACCTTCTTTCCTGTCTTCATGAAACAGTTAAACACTAAGATTTTTTAAAACATAAAATAATAGCACAGTATTTCAGTTTTGCAGTTAAGACAGTCAGATTACTTATGTACTTTACTCGGGTTCTATAGACAATGCAGCAGCTAAACAGGTTTTCTTTTAGACTGGAACTGATGATTATGCTATCTTTCTTGATGAATTGTTCTTCTCGTCTAGTCTTTTCAACGCAATATATAGTAAAAATGGAGTTTCGGTTAACAAATCTAATAGTGCAACTCAACGGTATTGGGGAAAATCTTTTCAAACTTCAGATAATTATTATTAATACAAATGTTGTACACACTACTTGTGTACTTTGCTCATAATCCGTAAAATTTTCACTTATTTTTTTGCTTGAAATAGTTTTGTAAAGCCACAATCACCGCCCTACATCGAAATTACGCCAAAAGTCAATTCTACTTTTTGCTTGTAGGAATTACCGAAAGCATTTTGCTTGAAGACTGAAATCAATGTCTGCTATTGTATGCATGTTGTATTTCACTTCAAACAAATTCATGAAAAAGACTCGCTGAGTTCTTGTTAATATATTTAAAATGTGATTTGCAATCTGTTTATAATTGATACTTGCAATCTCCAGTTCCTATACTGGGTCGAATTGTTCGACATCGATTGGCAGATGAGCTCCTATACTGATGCCTCGATACTCCGAGATATTCATAATGTTGTATTCATCGTGTGACTAGCAGAGGAATCCACCATGCACATTTCGTGCTATTTGGGGCTCGTCAACTATTTGTACCTACATGTCAGTAAGTGATAATTTTCCTAATGAGACTCGGACCCAGAAGCTTTCGCTTCAAAAACCATAACGTTATCCACTAGGCCACTGGGGCATAACAGTCACCTCTTGTGCAACTAATATCAGTTGTTGTTTGTAATTTGGTGTTTGAAACGCTAAGTACTGACTTTGAATTTTAGTGAGAACAAAATGAGTCACTACGATGCTGCTAAATGCAGCTGACCAGTCCCAAATAGTACGAAACGTGAGTCCTGGATTCCATTGCTAGCCACCGAGGTGAACTCAATCTGTTTGTCACCACCACTTTACTAGCCGACATCGATCTGTTCTGCCAACACATACATCATTTTCGCTATTTAAATGTCTTTCTATTTCCATAAGTTTTCACTATCTATGAAGTAGAGTAAGGGGAGCTATTGCAGTCTATATGTCTGTTAGTGCGGCTTGACCGTTGTATCTATGAGACATGAATAAGGGAATCATTATTGTCATAGCCTTTAGATAAACCTTAATAATATGCTAATAATCATGAATTGTGACCCCAAAGTATTGCTTCTAATTGTTTTATATTTTACTAATAAAGCATAAGCGATACCTTGAAGGATAAAAAGAAACAACATATTGATTTTTAAATGTTTTAACCTGTATAAAACCAGTTAACATTTCCCTGTGGAAAAGCTTTTTAGTACATTTCACACATGTATGTACACATATACTGAACTGATTCACTTTTTTCTGCGTGCATAAATAAATACAGCATATGTAGTATAAAGCATCCGTGCAATAGTCATCATCAGTCCAAGCATCAATAAATAAACAGGTATTTCACCTAGCCAATGAGAAATTAATTCCGGGCATGGGTCATTTTTTAAACGTGTATACCATTTATTTGGTACATATTTTGGTCGGTCATATTCATGTAGCTTAACAAACTCGTCAGCTGTAAGTGGATCGCTATAAGTTGCATACCCACAGAATTCATCATTTTGATAAACGTCTGCACAACATGAATTAGGTACCCAACGATCAATTGGTTGAAATTTTAATAAATGTGATATCTTCATATTCCATTCACGATGCCATTCATCATAACCACAACACTTGAAATAATTATGTATACGATCTAGAACAAAACGTCCAGTTGCAGATGAATTATAGGCGTTTACTAAACGTTTCACAGAACTGAATATCATTTGATTACCGAGAAATATTTCTCTATACCAGCATAATGTAATAAGCATGCACATTTCACTAGTGAAGGTAATTATTGAAAGGAATAAAAATATTATAGTCAGTAAACGTTTACCAGTTTTTGATGTTCTTATCGCAACACCGAAATTGATCAACAAAAAACCCGCAAAAATAGAAATTAATGAACGTATCAACTGACTATCATTTGCATTAATCAGTAAATCTATTTTCTTTTTATAAACATGCAGAGTGATTGCTAATATTCCATAAAATAATGTACACAAAAATAACCATGAGCAAGGAATTCCCCAAATTAAAGCATGTGACATGCTATGCACTGTAAATGCTGGTAATAATTATTATCCTACAAAGCTTTAAATACTTGCATAGTATCTCAATATAGTTGATTGATTTCGATGTAAAATCAGTAAACAAGATCACGTGATCTGTCCAAAATTTCCTTTTAGGATACTTTAGTAAAGATGACGGAGATTTTTTAATGGTATGTAAAATAATCAACTTTAAAATTTCAGTATCAAAATCGAGTGAATTATTTGTTGAAATGCTGGCAATATGGAGTTAACTCCACTAAAACTATTTCAATCCTAGTCTCATATCATTTGAAACACCGTGGCTAACTGGTATAAAACGGTCCAGTCTTTATTCAGTCAACCACCACACACACTCCATTCATCATGAGGTCTCCGTAACCAACCCGTTGTACAATAGTTGAAGTTTATACAGTGTAGGGCGTTGTTAGGTAGCATTATTTCTTGTTTTGATTACTAATAACATAAAATAATTTTCACTGACCACAAACCTTTTATTCTTCTACAGAGTTGATTTTGCTTAGTTGTACAACTAGTACGCGAAAATTGAGTCAACCTGAAGGCTTGTTAATGAACTCATAAATACAGTAAGTTTATCATTAAGATGATTTTCTTACTCAGAAAAAAAATAGAGGTTCTAAGAGTACACCATTGACTAGTACAATATTCAAGTGGAAAATAAATCAAGTTAGATGAATTTCAACACGTTCCCAATACCAGAAGATAATCACTTTTGAGTTGATATGTGTATTAGAAAAATGAGGATTTTCGTTCTGATTTTCTTAGTCAGTGATGATTAGTAGTTTGGATTAGGAAAGCAGGTAGCTTAAAGTCAAAATCAGAAGCATATATGCATGGTATTGTCTTTCGTTACTGGTATACAGGCTTAATGGTTAACAAAGTCATGAATGATTACTTAAACATATTGAGATCTAAATGAGACGTCACAATTCTACTGGTTATGCTTGTACAAACTATATTCAATAACACTTAGGCGTGCTGGTGTTTTTCTTTTAACTATCACAATTGCGATTCATTTTTTATTTGTATATGATTTTGAATAGACTCATTAAAGCAGATTGAATATTAGCTCCAAATCATATTCTTATACAGTACAATATTTTAAATACAAATACTGTCGTGAACATGGAAGTTAAGAGGTGATACCGTCACAAAATTTGGGAGTGAATGCTGCAAAGATAAGGCAGTTGTTCCGTAAACTCTTCTCATAGACAGTACTCTTTCTTTCAAATGAAGTATTGAGTCAATCAAGTTCTATCATACGATATCTACATCATTCTCAAGTGATAAATATGCTTAAATAATCATGAAGGTAATTATGTTATTTATTGTAATTTTCCGCCGTTGCTTCCACAGAAGTGGGCATACTGCATTAACATATGGGCTTCTTCTCCGATACCTCGACATTATCATTAATTTCAGACAGACGGAAGTGTTGGATAGTGGCAAGTAGTAAACGTCTAGTACGCAAGTCTCTTGCTATATGGGATGTACTTGCATCCTAGTGAGTGATATTCCCACTGAGACTTGACAGGGCCTTGAAGTCTGAAACATTGGATCTAAGTTCGAGTCTTATTCGGAAAAAACATTACTCACTGGGAGGTAGGTATATCCAGCTGAAGAGTCCTGAAAGGAACGAAATGTACGAAATGTACTGCTGGTCACAACTCATCATTACTATTTTATATAGGTAAGTGTTTTCATGTACTTCAGTTTAAAGATTGCTATTACGGAAGGAATTGCATAGTGAGATGCGAAGGCGGTTGGCTTACTGTCAGACATGAAAGATTCATTACTTCTAAACAAGCACCTAAAGAAATGAAATCTAGTCAGTTAAATTAGTTTTGGATATCAGGGATAGTTTCAAGGCCCTGTAGTATGGAAAGAGAAAAAGACATCATTGGCAATCCTTTATGGAAGTGCTTCTGTTTAAAAAGAGAAGAAAAGCAGGAATTATTATATTTTACAAAAAAAAATACCAACTGAAGAGTGCAAATCAACTTGATAGTCGTCTTATCAAGCGAAGTATTCACATAATCTAAGCAACATTACTGGTCACAATATTCTTGAATTCGACTGTATATTCTAGATAATCTGGACTAAACACTCAAGAATAAGTTTATTATTGGGCATATCTAAAATACCACTTTACGGGATATCGGATGAAGAAATTGAGTCAATATTGAAGTATAATGCTACCAAGTAAAAACTTCTGCCACTGAAATAGAAGTAAAACTTGTTTATAACCAAACGGGTATAAAATATAGGTTCACTAAGGAAGGGAACACTAAGTGAATATACCTTATCAAGTACGATGGTCCTTAGAATCTATCAAGTCAACTAATCAATCGGTGGAAAAAGGAGACTAAGTTATGTGATCCACTATATTTCAGTATTAGACTACCCAGAATTACATGGAAGATAAATATTGCATGGAACATCCGTAATTAAATGTAAAAACTAAAAAAAAGTGTATCACCTAAACATTGTTAGTATAATCAGTAGTTAATTATGTTATGCTGGTTGCCACCTTATATGTTAACCTATATTTCTGCATATTTTATGTCATTTTTCGTCAAAAGTCGACCGAACAGTTTCACAAATATTCGATGCTGAGTGAAAAGTAGATTTCAGATATAATTTATGCTGGTACAAATCCAAGTTTGTTTGAAATGGAACATTTTCAACGTTTGAATCTGGGCTCAGATATTTCAAGAAGGATAGTCAAAATTACGACGCCATGGATATATATATATATATATATATATATATATATATATATATATATATATATATATATATATATATGAGAGTGGACAGTGAACTTCAGGTGGACTTCTTGATGGTCGCTCCATGAATGGAAAGGCGGTAAGATAACATAAGGTATATTGCAACGTCAAAAATATATACACAATACAACGGTTTATATATATTTACAATAATCTTAACTATTTCTATGCCTTTCTGGATTAACGTATCCTATTGATTTTCACCTGTTCAATTAATTTGGTATTCACATTTTGGTTCACGTGACTTTTCCCGAAACTTTGAAACGAAACGATTGGTTGTAAAAGGCGCCAAGGAATCACGGCTCCTTTTGAAAACTTTGTCAATCTTATTGCACAATGTAAACATTTCTAGTCACTTACTAGAATTGGTACACACGGTTGTGATGACAGATATATAGTCATAAAAACCCTCTCGATGAGGTTTGAGTTAGTTGCTTCAATTTTACTTTTTTTGCTTTTTGTATCATTACAAAATAAAAAGCTCGAGTTTTGAAATCGGATGTACATGATATGAAATGGAAAACGTTAGCCAAGAAACAATCCATTAACACCTGGTGACGTTTAGGATGCTTATTTGTAGATTATAGTAATAAGGTTTTGTGACATAAGTGTCAAAGCCTTTAAAATGGATCTTCACTAGGAAACAAAAATCAGACGTTTATTATGGCCACGCATATCAGTGAACTATCAAAACAGTAATGCATTAATAACAAAGAGGAAGTGATTTCGAGTGTGCGGGAAATACATTTGACCGACAGCTTGTGTACATGTGATTCAGCAATAGATAGTAAAACACCCAAGTATGTTTAAGTTTTCAGTTTTTTTTTACACAGTGACGAGAGGCGATAACTCCTTCCCAATTTTGTTGTAAAAGTCAACTCGATCTGGAGTTCGTTTAACATTTCTCTTTCGCTACTTAAATTGGAAAAATACCTCAGAAACGTCGACATATATGTACTAACTTCCTGCAAATGTACACCAGTTACAGAGAATCACACAATAGGATGTGGTAAGTAGCTTCAACGACATGCGTGAAAATACTGAAACTGCATGAAAACCATCCTTGGCAGCTAATAACCATTTTCGGGTCAATACACTAGGCAAAATAGATGAATTTCATTAGCACCAAACTGGGAATCAATACGAAAATTAATGTGTCAGAATAGTGACACATTCTTAGTTATTGATTGACGTCATTCTGAAGGTTCTAGTTCGGTCACAAAGCTTTTCGTAAAGCACCAAGTCTCTCAACCATCACATAGAATCACTGACTCGACTGACATCAGTCTTGAAAATACGGATCTTGTTCACGCTTTACGCTGCTGAGTGCAGTGGCGTGGAGTGCAGTAGATCTTCACACTGATTTCACCTTAATCAAGGCCTGTCTTGCTGTATTTCCAATCCTGGCTGTTTTCACGTACTCATCCGTGCCTTCGTCGCCATCGCCATAGCCACCGCCATCACCTGTAGTTGAAAGCTTTGTGACACTAAAACCGTAGTGTTCAAACAGTTTCCAAATCACTTCCCGCTCCACACTGTCGAAGGCCAACTCAAAGTCGATGAAGTTGAGGTAAGGTGAAGAGTTGACTGACATTCTATGCTGTGTTCTATGATGATGTGTGGCGTAGTGTGGCGTTGCAATTCGTTCCGCACATGCTTTGCAATTCCTGAAGTCAGTCAGCCAGCCAGCCAGTCAGTCAGTCAGTCAGACTGTTTTGGTCGTCACTTTGAATCCAGAGCATTTCCTAGTCTCTCTCTCTCTCTTCTCTCTACGATGATGTGGTTTAATATTTTGGGTGCGGTGGACAGGAGTGGAGCATGATTCCTCATCAGTTCTTCCAAAGACTTAGGTCTCCCATCTCTGGAGTTTGACAAGGTAGCCATTCTTCCAATCGGCAGGCAGGTACCTTCCCTTCCTTCATTCCTTCCTTGCTTCCTTGCCAACCTTCTGCAATAGTGGTGTGAGGATGTCCGCTGTGGTTGTCTCTGCATCTGTTTTCATTGCTTGTGGAGGAATTCCATCGGGTCCTTCTGCCTTCCCGGATTTCAGCAGTTTTATAGCATTCAGGACTTCTGCTTTTGTCGGTAGGCTTGTATTCACTGGTAATTCTGTGGCTTCTGGTGGTATTTCTGAACGACTTGCAGGTGATGGTGGTGGTCGATTGAAGAGTTTTTTGAAGTGGTCACCTCATCACTTCCTTTGATTCC